TGGAAGCCAGGGGAGGGTCAAGGGGAGAAAAAAAAGGAGACATATATAATACTCTTTGTAATACTTTAAGCAATAAAACAATTTTTTTTTAAAAAAATGCCTCTTTTTAAAGTAAAAACAAAATGTTTTCATGATCCTGTTTCCCCAGTCCATAGTTGGACCATAGTCAGAGGAAAGCCACCTTTGTGATACTTTGGGACTGTGCCGGAGGAAGAAGGGTAAGGTTAGTAGTCATTGCTCTCAGAAGAGCCTGTGTCAGACGGCAGCAAATTCTCCATCATTGGAGGTATTCAGAGAGCTAAGATGCCACAGAAAGAATGAAAGCATCAAGGAGTGATTGGAGAAGATGAGTTTTAAAACAATGGATGCCCAAACAACATTTTCACCTGTCTATAACAAAATGAGTAAAACTAGGTGATATTGGGTATGTGCAGACTTTTGGGGAGTCAGTAAAAAGGGTATGCTGAGATATGTCAGTTATAAGGATGTTAACTTTCCTATTTTGTAGTGAGGTGTTCCTTCTGAGAATTTCTTTTATCTTTTTCATATTAAAATGTCATTTCTATGATAGAATACTGTTAGTAAATGATGGATATTTTGGATGCAAAATTATAATTTGGTAACCCTATATTTATTTATCTATTTATTTTTTTTATTTATTCCTAAAGGTTCTTGGTTCTTAAAATCCAAATGTTTGGAAGCTAAGTTGTTGCCCCAGTAGCTCAAAATTCATTTCTTTTATCTGTACATAGATTGTTACTTAAAGTGAACAATATAGATTCAAAATTTTTGGATGTTATTTTGGCTTTCATTTAAGTTATGGCATATCAATAACAATTCACAGTATCTTTCAGCAAATAGGCGGTCACTCTGGCCAGTATTTCCCAATGGTTAGAGTGTAAGCCCACATACCAAAGGGTCATGGGTTCGATTCCAGTCAAGGGCACATACCTGGGTTGCAAGGTCTTCCCCAGCGGTCAGGGCACCTGTGGGAGGCACCCAATCCATGTGTCTCTTTCACATCAATGTTTCTCTCTCTCTCTTTCTCCCCTCCCATCCCTCCCTTCCACTCTCTCTAAAAATTAATAGAAAAATATTGGATGAGGATTAACAAAAAAAAAAAGAAAGAGAAAATAGGTGGTCATTGTTTTACAAATGACTGACTCTAAGCAAGATAGTTCTAGAGGTTTGAGTTAAGGGATTCTGCACTGCCTTCAATATTGATCATTAATATTTTAATAAATATTTGTAGATAAAGCTTTTTTAAAAGTGTGCTAGCCCTCAGAAAATTGACATACTATGTATATATGGAACAGAGCTAAGGAAAATAGTTTTAATCAGCCATTATGTTTTAATTTAGGAACCAGAAGGAACTTTTTATAATAGAAACTTTGAGTAGCTGGAAGTTTTACAGATTTTAGCAGAGTAAATTAATGACATTTGATAGTCAGAATTTTTCCTTTCCATTTTCCATAAAGAAAGGCCTTAAATCAAACCATTTTTCCAGAGGGCTATGTACTAGGGCTACAAATAAATCCATTTAGCCTGATAATCTTTCAAGTAGCCAGGATCATTTTGGACCATTATAGAATCTTAAACCCAGATTCTAAGAGATGGTTAGAAACAATAAAGAACAAAATAGTTCCAGGAGATAATTTCAAAAATGATGTCATCTGCTGAGGAATTATAATTTACACATGAATAAGATACACAGTCCCTTTGTCTGTCCTGATGAGAATAAATCAGTGTTCTGGGTCAGTGAAGCTCTTTAAGACAGGAAAGAATGCAAATTTGCTATTGAGGCCAGGGAGGATGGAATAAACCAAATGGCAGAGAATACCATTATGTGGAAGAGTAAATGTACAGTACAAAATGCTCAGGATGTGGAAAAAAAGACAATTACAGTAAAAGCCTTTCTAAGTGAAGAGGTCCGCTGTAAAATGTGGTCACCATGTTGCCTGATGGTTAGCAATAAGGGCCCTGAAATCACATAGATTTGAGTCATGTCTCTACCACTAACTAAATGGACATGGGACACTGAGCAAATTATTTAATCTCTCTGAGCTTAAATTTCCTTTCCTTTAAGATAAGGAAATCTATACAAATATCTCTCTAGGACTACTCTGTTGTGTATATGAATTAATTCCTAAAAGTACATAAAATAGGACAAGACATACAGTAAGCACATGGCTCATTCATCTCCAAGTCTTGGCTTAAATGTCACCTTCAGTGGGGCCTCCCCTGACTGCTCTAATGAGATAGCAACCAACCCCACACTTTCTTTCTCTGCCAGCTTATTTGTCTCCCCACTCTAGAATGGCTTCTTTATTCATTGATGTATCCATAATGCCCAGAATAACAGTGTCTGAAACATAGTGGGTGCTCAATAAATAATTGTTAGATGGGGCATGAGGGGTGTGTGTGTGTGTGTGTGTGTGTGTGTGTGTGTATAATATTGTTAGTAAATTATATATATATGTGTGTGTATATATATATACACACATACACACAAATACATATATATGATAGCTGGTATTGTTATTTATTAAAGAAGAATTGAATTTAGGAGTGAATTTAGGGGGCACAAAATACAGCAGGAAAATAAAAGGGCAACAAGGGTGACAATGGCAAAGGAATGGCATCCATTAGGTATAGATTATCTTTGTGGTATATCATCTAATCCTGTCGGCAAGTCAGAGGATACAAGCCTCTCCAGATACTGCCTAGCATGCTTGTACTCAACAGAAACTAAAAATTATTTCCAATTCCTGTCTTCTTACAGGCTGGAGATACAATAACAGAGCTGGAATCTGTAGACGATGACTGGATGAGTGGAGAACTAATGGGGAAATCTGGAATATTCCCCAAAAACTATGTTCAGGTTTTACAAGTTGGCTAAAGGTGAAGCTTGACTGTGTCCCTTGGCACAAGAACTATTACTTTGACTATCAGATATGGTTTTTTTGCACTATTTTTTAAACTGAAAGAAATATCTATGCTGTAATGGTACACTAGAATTTTCTGAAAGTAGAAAATGTCTGGATTTCCTCACAGTAGAAACGTACACATGAAAACCCATGAGCAAGTATTCTACCAAGGAAAACATCAGCAGTATGAGCAAGACAATTAAACACTTCCCCAGGGAAAGTGCCTGGTGACATGGCAGCACAAGGAGGCCTACGCGCAAAAGCTGTGCTTTTCTGTTTTCATTAGCAAAAGTCAATTAAACGTGCTTCTTCACTTTTTTTCTTTTAGTTTAAAAAGAGGACATTCAATATTCTACATGCTGTAACCATCAAGACATGGTTGGTAATCTAAATTTTATTTGTGATATTCAAATTAATTCTAACAGCTTGAGCACATTTCCCTTATCAGGGCAAATCCTTGTTTCAGGAGGGGTAGTTTATTAACTAGTTGGAGCCTGTGTAAGAATGTGGAGAATCAGCTCATGCTCACCAAATGCTTCTGGTGTTAATAAGTATTTCCCCTTTGTCCAAGAATTTGAAGGGGATTAAAATTTGAAGCATCTTAGTCAAAAGAACCAAAACCATCCTGAGATGCCTTGCTAATATGACTAACCCTTCCACATACTTGCTGTACTTACTTCTTTCCTCCATTTATAACTTTATACAGGGTTGTTATAAAGCACATTTTCTGAATCTGCAATCATTCTTTTGACAATTATTGGTACCCAAAGAAAAATTCATTTTCTTTGTGTTACCCCAGTAATATATAAAAGCTGTGTCTTGTTATAGTGATACATTATGAATCACATTATCCCAAATACAGAGTAACTGTTAAGATGGAAAACAATGCCAAGCCCCACAGCTCATTTTTTCCCAATATAATCAAATGAAAAATAATTTAAGAAGACTGAAAGCTGATACTTTTTGTTGTTTTTTCCCCCAGCTCATCCGTTCACAATTATAGAATAAACTAAAAATTAAAAAAACACACACACTTTCCTGCTATATCCACTGTTACGCATGCCAGGCTTAAGATAAAAGCAGTTCTTCATGCCACTAAATCAATTACAGTTTATGGCAGTGATGGCAAACCTATGGCACGCGTGTCAGAGGTGACACGCGAACTCATTTTTTTGGTTGATTTTCCTTTTTTAAATGGCATTTAAATATATAAAATAAACATAAAAAATATACGACTTTGTTTTACTATGGTTGCAAATATCAAAAAATTTCTATATGTGACATGGCACCAGAGTTAAGTTAGGGTTTTTCAAAATGCTGACACGCCGAGCTCAAAAGGTTCGCCATCACTGGTTTATGGGCTAAAGCCAAACAGGTTCAAGACAATCTTCCAAACAGATCAATGGAATAGAATTTCATTGGAAATGTGAAACACTTTCCCAACAATGTTCATGACTCTCTTCGATTTTTAAGAAGAATTTAATATACAGGGCCACTTTTTAGCTTTTATTATTGTTTCCCATTGTCCAAAAAGTTAGGCAACTAATGGTCAAACACGAGATGGTGTTCTCTAAGGGAAGAGTTATTTACTTCGTCTTTGATTAAAGGTCATCTGCCAGTTATATGGTTATAATTGATATGGGGGCTGTTTCTTCTACTTGTTTTGGGTAAAGAAGACAGTATAAAGAAAACTCGTGTCAAATTTTACTCAAGTAATTTCAAGAGAAATGGGTCTTAAAGCATTATCCCAATTAAATTCCCGTTTGCAGCAAGCTGTATAATAAGTAGGGTGTGTGTCTGGAAAAGGACATGAGGTACACATATTTGCCTGTGTAATTTTAACATCTTACATTAAAAAATCATGGAAACTTAGCTTTATTGGAGAAAAATATCCTCTTAAATTTTGGCAGTCAGCAGAATGATAAGTGCAATAGTTGTAAATCTACTTGACATTATAATAAACTGAACTTTTCAAAGTACTTTTCTCAAACTAGATTTTTTCTTTTTTTTGAGAATGGAAATGGTATCTTCTCTTTATGACTCCAGCCCTTTGCTCAATATAATATCAATAAAGGTTGATTGTTTAAATGGATGGGTAACTTATATAGCAATACCATCTTGGATACACTGAGATGTAATATCTTTCCTCCTTAATTTGTTGACAAAAATCTGTATTGAAACAAAAATTTGCAGTTTTTATGTCATTTCACTTTGTCATGCTAGTTTTTGCTTGTCATTTATTATTCACTCAAGTGACAAGACAAAATGTAGCTTGGTACAGGTTTTCATAGATACTTTCTTGTTCTGTATATTGATTGAGCATAATTTTATAGTTTGTGAATGTCATAAGGAAAAATAGGAATGTATTATTTTTCCTTTTGGGAATTTTAAGTGAAAACTTGATATTGTTCATCTAAGCCTACTCCTTTTTAAAAAATTTTTATTAAAACTAGAGAACATTTAACATATTATTCTTATCCTTTGATTACCTGTTTAAACACCAAAAGACAGATTTCATTAAAAGATGCCCTTGCTTACATAGCTGGAGGGTTAATATAATCTTTCATTGTGTTCATGGAAATCACAGGTTTTGAATACAATCTGAAACATTCCAAATATCAGTGCATTCATCAAAATTTATTATTAGAACTAGTATTTTTAAAAATATTTTTATATAGGGTTTTTATACATTAATATTCTTAACAATAATTACTTCATTTTTATTTAGTATCTTAGGCTTAGGTAAATGTACCTAAAGAAATACTGATGGCTATATGGGCATAGTATATGAAGATATTTGGTATATTCATTAATGATTTATTCCTTTTAATTAATGTCAGATGCATATGGGCCATGCATATCCTATCTAATAAAAGAGAAACATGGTAATTGGCGTACGACCACTACCCTTCCCATTGGCTAATCAGGGCGATATGCAA